ACTGTTTTATATCAAACTTTATATTACATATCTACCTATATTATTTTCAACAGTCAATCACGAATTATTCGACCGGAGGATACGATTTGCGAATTACCATATAATATTGCACATTTAGCGTGTCTGCCGAAAAAAGATTGTAAAAATAATAAAACAGAATCGTTTACCCTATAGTATAATAAAGCCGACTCCACTTGCCCTAGGCAATATAGCGCAGCCAACGTTTGTAATAATAAGAAATAAAATATTTAAAATCAAGTAACTGCTGGCAGATCGTTTGTACAACAAAAGCAAAGTGTGTATGTATAATAATAATAAAACATTAATCATAACGCGATTAAAACAGTGTTGTATACAGCCATATAGGTATATAGGTAGGTAAATCATACGAACACACACACACAATATGTGAGTGTGCATTGTCGCATTGGAAATAAAAAAAAATATTCTGCATATTAGTACGCTCGGTTTGAATAACAACACATACGCATGCTTTTTATTCAAAAACCGTTTGACTCAGGTACGTTTTAAGAATATAAAATGTCTGTTATAAATGTTTTGTTTGTAATATGTTTCTGTACATCAAACTTATTATGCCTATTACCATTTGACCATGACAGTGGTAAATAGATCAACAGAGAGTATTTCTATCATAGAATATTTGTAAATTGTAATACTTATTTTTATTGAGTTATTATTGTTGATTAAAAATATATGATTTTATAAGGAATTTACATTTTAATGTTATCTTCGGTAGTGCAAATTAATTTTTTATAGGTAATACATGTTATTAAATATATAGCAGAATTTTATAACCGAGAATAAAAATGAAATAAACATTAAGTCCCGTTTATTTTTTAGAAATTGTATACAAATTACTTTAATAGCTGAATAAAAGTTTTCAATTTAATTATTAATCTAGTTCACCAACGGCAGTCTAAGTGAACATAACTTTGAAGATAGTCATGGAATCATTGCACAGTCAAAACGTCGAACTAAACAAAACAAACATAAAGAGTAGGTACCTCAAACTATAAATCGAGTTCCTTATGAAAACACAAGCGAAACTCTAAAATAATAATTTACATAACTACCTAATAATTTATTGTTGGTAGTAATTAATATCACTATAGTGTTCTTAGTAATAAGTTAACCAATTCATTTAAAATAAAGTGCTTAAAATATTTGTAATAGACTAGGGAGGTATACCGGCCATTATTGCCCAACCAGGTATTTTGTCTTATCACTTACATTAAAACATTTGATGAATTAAACTGTGGTATTGTAGTTATACAAATACAAATTTGCTATTTTAATTTTATTTATAACAGTATTAAAAGTATTATATGTTACTTAGAGCCTTGAAATTCGACCTCCATTATAATTTATTTTTATTTAAAAAAAATCTATGGATACTTAAGACTTTGTAACACTTAAATTATTTATATGACATAGGTTTACCGGGACTCGCAGACAAGAGACCCACTCGAAAAAAAAACGAGTGAGAGGGCAGCGAGAAACTTATCCCTTTCCATTTTTAAGCACCTTGCATTATGGCTGTTTCCACGCAGAAGTCCATTAGTCACGGGGGCCTTTTTACACACATCCATCAGAGTCGCTAGCCCTCCTCACATCAATAGTCTAACGATTGTATACATCACACGCACCCTGTGTGTTGAGTTAGGACTTAGGACGGGAGGTAGACAACTTTGACTCGTCCAATGGCCAAGCCCCCCGAGATAAAGAAGCCCGTTCATGCAGGGCGTTCGGGTGCGTGGATGGGAGCGGCGAGACTGTTAGGGTGTAGGGGTGTAATCCGTTTTTACTGGAAACGGATCAATTTGTCTAACCTTTGCCCCAGGCTACGGTAAATATCGTCCAGTTTGGTCTCATTCCCGGTCCAGTCAGATGTATCCGGTTGAAATAAATCGCTTCGGATTCTAAAAACTGTATTATCGTATGCGCCGAAAGGATTTTACGAGCTATGAACGAATTCTCTGGAGGTCCCAGAAATAAGTTTGTTTTTCGTTAAAAAGACACGGCGATTGACAATTCGTTTGTTTTATGCTACGCAATATCCGTTTTGTCTTAACTTCCGAAGTAAAACCGTATTTCCGTGTTTGCATGAAAAGTAAATGTTTAGTTGAGAGGATGATAATCCAAGGAGCCGAAACTAGCCGTATTATATCTTTTATCGATTTATTTTGAAATTTAAAACAATAATATATTAGTAATTACCTAGTTTATTACTGAATTAAACCTATTTGTTCTTAATCTGTAATAATATATTACAACAATATTTTAGGCAATTGAAAAATGCATGATTTTTAATTTAATATTATTTCATGTAGGTATTGCGTAGTATATCGTACTAGAGTACTGTATAGAACATAGTTTAAAATAATATAATGTATAATTGGGTTAATAAGTGTTAAGATTTATGAATATATAAAACATATATTTAAGTATGAGTTTGCGTTAGATTTAAAACTTGTTTATTCGTTTGAGGATAAAACGAGTTTTTAAAGATTTGGATATAGGCTCGTGTTATATTTTATAAAATATAAAAAATGTGTTTATTATAATCTTAAAAATCTTAATATTTTTTTAAAAATAGACTATATAGATCACACAAAATATTAATTATGTATTTTAGTTAGCTGATATAAAACGTATAACACGAAATGATCGCATTAATAATACTAAATAATATGAAGTAATAGAAAAGATAAAAAATATGAAGCATCCAAAATATATTCTTTGAGGCATCATTAAAATTTAAGTATAAAATATAGATGCACTATAATATAACTCCTAATGTAAATAATTATAAACACAAAAATAGTGTAATATAATAAAGTTTAAGATTTGCAGTTTAGCAGCTGCCATGGGATTGTGAGGTATAATATAACCTTTTACTGAATTTGATTAACAGGGGAATATATCAAAAGCCAAAATTAATTATCATCTCGTAGGTCTTCATTTAAATTTTAATCAAATAATCCGTGTATAATTACGGAAGGACTCACCTCAGAGGCTCAAAATGGCAAAGGTTAAGGGGTTGTGTGAATACATTATTAATAATCAAACTTTAAGAAGTCTTCTACCATTAAGCTTTCAATGTTTAAACTTAGTAATTATGTATAACAAAGCCTACAGATATATTTAAGTCATAAAATTGTTTATGTTAAACATAACTGAAGTACTTACATAATATAGATACTACGAATACATGTATGTGTGAAAAATTCGTTTTTCTAATTATTAAGTTATAATTTTCGATCACAAAATAAAATTCAATCTGCAAAATATCATCTATTAAAAAACCGTAAATGTTGGAATATTTTTTATTACTTTGTTGAATAGATTAGCAAACTTGTGATAACAATAATTTAAGAAATCCTCAAGAAATAGGATAAAAATTGTGTGTTAAGTTGTACATTCTCAATTGCAAAAAATATTTCAAAAGGCAAATAAAGTGTAGTAGAATAATTTATGTCTATAGATTTATATGCTAATTACGATGTCTACACTTATATTTATCGTTTTATTAGTATATTGTGGTTGGGTAAATTATCTCTCTTCGATATGTGTTTAAATTAAAATGTTCAAAACACGTTCCAAGACCATCTTTTAAAAAAGTTGAATGTTTCATTCCCATTTAAATGAATAGAATTATTTCTTATAAGTTATAATTTATGTTAGGTATTTAGGTTTATACTTATACACTTGAATCTATGAACACATGGTTGTGCATAGTGTATTTTGAATAGTTAAATCACAAAAGGTATACAGTACTAATTTGTGTCATTGATATGACAAACAACATTTGAATTAGTAAAAATAATTTTTTTACAACAGATGCACCAATTACAGTGTACCACATACTGCCAATTTGATTTGACAATTATTTTTAAGTAGATTTTAATAATAATAAATTATATAATAGAGAAGGCAAATTTATATTCTTTTTTCACTTTCAAAAAATAAAAATATTACGTGCCTGGTATGAATAATATATCGATTTGATTTAATACTTTGTAATATGTTTTAATTCGTATGCAAAACACCATTTTAATTGTCTCGTTTATTGCCTGTTTTCTCGTGTCATTCGATTACTTTGATCCCCTATCATCGTTAGATGTTAGCCTCTTAATCTCACACCATAAGTCACGTTTGGGCAATAATGTAACCCCCCGGTCGTTTTTTTACCCGAACAACACATAGCCGGTTTATTGATAACGCTTCACCCGTGTTCGTGAATCATAAGCGAGGATCTCACTATACCATCAGCATATTATATGCCCGGTATCTTTAAATCCTCACGATTTTTCAATTTTCTTTTCTTTATTATTAATATCATATTACATTTTTTTTTTATCACAAAGGGATGTCTGCATAAATAAACCATTCTGCTGACCCAAAATAGCACACATCACATACGAACAACCAACAGTCCTCTGTAACGAAATATCATCACGTTGACACTCGTATATATTATATTAAAAAAATAATAAATAAAATTAACACGACAAAAAACATGGTGTTAAATTAAAAAATGATCATCGTTTGTAAAGAATTTTATAACACAGGTTTTCATTAAAGTATAAAAAAAAATGTTTTTTTCACAGACAATAAGAGGGAATTATGATGAATCTATTAAGTATAAATGCACTATAGGTAATATTATTTAGGAATATGTATTTTTTTCAAAGCTGTATATGAACATGTACCTATAACCTAACCTATGTCAGTATGGCACTTATAAAATATGCGTTTTGAAGTATTTTCAAGGTGTATACTTATTAAATAAAACAATTTTAAATGAACGCGAATATAGTACTAACATTTTAAATTATACGAAAGACGTTAAATGAGTTGCTCTTTTACTTATAATTTGAGTCATGGTTTCATTTGTTTGTTCACTATTATTATTGTAACCTATCCCTATGTTATCGCTGTATTTTTACATCTAAAGCAGAGAAAAAATAATTACCTACCTTTACAAGCCTTTCGATGTGTTATGGGCTTAGTAGGATCCCTGTAGTATCCCTCCTTGCAGTAATGACAGTATCTGCCAGCCGTGAAGTGTCTACACTTAAGGCACACGCCACCGCTCACCCGACCTGACAGTTTGTACAGCTCCATGTCGAACCGACATCGTTTTGCATGTTCATTGCAGTTACAAGCTGCAATCATAAAAAAATATTATTATTACATTCATTAAACATTATTCATTTTTCTTTTGAGATACCATCATCATTATGAACGCATAGTGTAACACTATGTATAGGACCTACACACTAGTACATTATGCATAGTTGTAGGTACATGCGAGGTAGGTACGTGTATACGTATGTATAATTGTATACGTTTATATACTATTCTAAGTGTTTTAAATTTGATTAATATACCAAAAAACCGAATCCCAATGATTCCAAAAATAAGATCGAAAAATCTAAAAAGATTTTAAAACAATTTTTTTGTACCTACTTCATAATATCAGTTTTCTCTGAAAATATACAAATCATTATAATAATTCCAATATTTTTATAGCACAAAGTTTTGCTTTATCTGTAATAATAGTGTCTATATTTGTATAACATAAATTTTAATATTAACATTACTTTTCAACAAGTCATTAAATGCGATTGTATCGTGTACTATTTTAACTTGCTTGTAGGTATATTTATTGCTAATTAATATATTATATTATTATGATTGATGTATGCAGCAGCGTGTTGATATGATGAGTTATGACTTGGTAGGTACCTACATTTAAATCATTTGGAAGTAATACAATTGAAATTATTTTTATTTAAAAACTGATTTATGTTGGTAATATATTATAAACTCAAACCTTAATAATCTTTACCCTTAAAAGGCCAATTGTTTTAATTGTATGAAGTTGCTTTTATGGTTATAGTAATGATTGTGAATTCACATTTTATAAAGTCCCGACTTCTTGACAAATTCACCTTCGTTTGCTCGTTAATTTTCGACTCACGTTTATGGTTTGTTACACCTCTTGGTGGTATAATCATTATAAAGAAACTTCTAACAATTTTTGTTGAGTTTTTACTTTTACGTAAAACTTAAATAATCCCTCAAGCATATTAAAAATGAAAAAAATGTTCATCTTTGATCCAGAGGCTTGTAGAAAAACAATATTATATGTAGTCATCAGTCTATTCGAGGTTAGTTATAATATAAAGTTATAAATATTATTGTTATAATTAAATGTTGTAGTATTAACCATTAGTAACTATTTCGATTTAAAATAATAAAAGTGTGAAACAATTTTTTTTAAATTTAATTAAACACATTATTATTAATTGTTTTAACTATACTTAAATTCATTAATTATTTTAAAGTATGTATCTCTAAATATTTTTTTACATGTTCATTAAATATTTTATCACAATTCATAATTATTAAAGTCATACTAATAAGTGAGAAGTGTAAAATGTTAAATTCCCCAAAAATGAATGATGTTAATTAAATTTTAAAATACTGCACCAAAAACCAATGATAACTCAATGATATAATATAATAATAAAATAAAAAACAACCCAATTTAACATTTATGGCTTTACTTAGTCTTTAACTGTCGGAACATGACAACTTATTTGCATATAGAATATTCGTAAGCCTTACTTAACCAAGGTATATAAGTTAGTTTTTTTATTTTAGCTTTATATTTTATTCTTGGCTATTTGTAAAACTTGTAATATCAAAAATAAATTATATAGCATCAAAAATTTTCTGTAGGTAACGCATTATTTTTATGAGACAATTTGTTTATTACTGACCATAAATACATTTTAATATTGATGTAACAAGCGGATGTATAATAAAATTTAAACATTCGGATACTACTCAAAGGAATAAAACATTTATGAAGAATGACGACAGATGAAAGATGATGAAAAAAAGTCAAGCGTTTGTCACATATTAATATACTCTCTATATATAGACATGATATTTAGGGTCGGTTAGTGAATGAAACTGTGAGGGTTAAGGTTTAAAGAGTTCCGGTAATTCACAATATACCACCATATTCATACAAGAATAAGTAGGAATATACTACAATAATTACCAACTAGTAAGAAAAGTTATAACATTAAAATTATATCATCTTAAAGAAATATTTAAATTTTATTCACGATCGAAAAACTACTAATAAAATATAATCGTTTTTAATACCTATGTAATAAAATAAAAACTATATATTACGTTTAAAACGTTCAGTATTTATTGGGTTGGCCATACATAATAATATTATTACACCAATTATTGAGGTATAACTTATAAATAAACACGAGGAACATTACAAACGTCTAACAGTTTTTCTTTTAAACCAAAGAATTTATTATTAGAATGTTATTCTCCGAGTTTTTCTGAAGTAATTATGAATGGTATACTGGAGTAGGTACACTAAACTGAGGTCGGCTCGGATAGTCGGAACCGTTAACACATATTAAACGTATTATGTGCATTATAAATTTATATTTTATCTTTATTCTTTATGCTTTAAATATTATTATCATCATCAATATCCCACTCAAGAAAATATCAAACAAATCAGAACGAATAGATGAAGCTTAAACAAACATAATCTGGTACATGTAAATTTATTGTAATGTACACATATAATTAATGAAACTGGTATCGATTTTACATGTCAATACTATGCGAGATACACTTTAAAAAAAAACGTAAATATCTACCTACCTACTTTGTGAACGAACCCGACATCCGTTAACACTCGCACATTAAGTGCGTGAGTACCTATTACACTAATAATCGTTCATCGAAATAATGACTGGATTGTAAAATGTGTATAATGAAAATTAAAAATGCAAAATCAGTAATTATGTATTATCACCTACTCAAAATGCTGTGCTGTCTGACGTGTGTGCATCGCCGATAATCCGGAACCATACGTGTGTAAATCATGGGCGGACGACTGCGGCGGTGGAACACTGGACAGTTACGACACGTATGGCCTACAGGTATACTACGAATGACCACTATTAGTCAGAGGCGGATTAAAATACCACGAAATCATGGTCAATTAACTAATTAAATCGAAATGCAGAGGAAGGATTTCAGATCGGATCTAAAAAGCCTCTGGAATTATTATTATACCACATTATACATTATTGTATACTGAAAAAGCGTGATTGTGAGAGTGCGTGCGCGCACACGTGTAAATGTAGGTATCTATACATATTATATTATTATAGGAGTAGCCAGATGGAATGAAACAGAGTGACCTACAGGTACAATAACAAGCGATCGGAAGCGGAATCCGTGCGGGTCTGTACCTACGTATTTTCTAGACCATACAGACGTCAATAATGTCTTAGGCTAATTGCTCGGTATTAAATCTTCCATGTAATTGAATTTCTTAGTGACAGCCAAGCCAACGTGATCGGATATAATGATAGTAATAGAAGAGTCAAAAGAGCCGTACGGTCCCGATAAATTTTAAATGTGTATAAATAAAGAAAAATCTAAGCGATGTCGTGCATGTATAATATAGTAAGAAAGTTTGCTGGTGTTTAATATGATTTGTGATTTTTGTCAGATAATTTTACGGCCCATGCCTACAATAAAAAGGGAAATCACCATTTAAGTAATTCACACGGTTATTAGATTTCGTTTTCTTGAATACAAACTTTAAATTTATTTTTTTATAAACACTTTTTAGTAACTAACTACTGAGAAGAACGAAGGCTTTGAAATGTTAATATTATAACACTTTGTGTTAATGACTTATAAAACCCAAGTAAGTATAAAATCGAGAATAATTTTAAATCAAGTATTTTAAGACATCCGACAACGACTAATGATCATAATATTTATTTAGAACTTTTATTTGTAATTTAAAATAAAATGATCTCAATTCAACTGACTTTGAAAACACAATTCCTATATTACAATAAATGTTTATGAGAATTATTATTAAAACCATAAAGCAATTTTACACTCTAAAATTATAATAAAATGATTCTCAAATAATATGTTCTTACTATTAATATGAATTTATCTTCTATCAAGATTTGTAAGCTAGGATAAATGAAAACATTTAACAGTATATCGAAAAAAATATTTCATAAAATATCAACACCTAAGTCAACAAACACACAATTAAAAAAATCAATAAATACATAAATTAAAATAACTCGAATTTCACATTATGATGCATTATAAAACTGCATACGTTAAAATGTACATTTGTCAGTAAGCAAGGACATTTACATATAAATATACTATAACATAATATTATAATATCATTATTACCGTTTATGTTGTTTTTTCTATTGTCTATTACCTACGACAACTATTATTTTGGTAACTGTCATATTATACTTCCATATGATTACACTAGACTAACAAGTGCATATTATACTGTAATATAATACTCATATCATCTAATTGTATGTACCTTTAATATAATATTAACATTTTGTGTTCTAACTAAAACTAAACTATCAATTCGATTATACTATTTTATATTTTAATAAAGGTGAATTTTCGTGTGTTAACAAAAAAGACACTAAGATATTAGGTATATTTAATAATATATATTAGCAGTAATTTATTTTATGGAATTTAGTCTTAAAAAAAAAAATGAAATAATAAATATGTACTCGTATTTCAAAATCCCCATGACATATAAATGTTGTAATTTATTGGATTTTTATTCAACATTTTTTTTAAAGAAAGTTAAATTTGTAATCTTAAGGTGTCTCGAAAACGACGTAAAATATTACTTTTGGCAAAGCCTATAGATATGTCAAAATAATAAACAAGACATTGGTTGAAAGAAGTGTCTTGTTTATCTTACTAAAAATATAATATCAATGAATTTAAAATCGTTAAATAGCTTCTTCAAAAATGATTAAAATGTTGTTAATAACACGGAATTATTTGTAAAACAATCAATTTAAAGTTCAGCATAGCAACTATAGTAAGTGACAACAAAGTAACAAATATATAGAATATTATCTTAAGTTTAGACTATTCTTAACCATTATTATAATTGTTACTGATGAACTTAACCATACAGGTAATTTAAGTACTCGAGAAGTTGAGAATAGATTTAGTGATTGAAAAATGAAAAACTATGAGTACTGTTAAGACTAAAAGTCGGGCACGAGAAACGTGCGATATCGGGGAC